CCCCCCCCCCCCCCCCCCCCCCCCTACACCAATTATTTGCACTACTAGTGATTAAATTTAATAAAAAATTGGACAGGATTCATCTTCATTACTGCAGAATATATTTAACGTACAAAATATAATTTTTTATTTATATTGCTACAGTCCTTTTTATTTAGTTAATAAGGCTATAGAATTTTTAAAATTAATAGCTTAAAGTTAGCGAATTTTTATCCTTTTTTTTTCTTGTTAAATCACATAAATTACGTCTATTTCATTTAGAATAAACTGACGAGGTTGGTGGCTCATCTATACTTCTATCGCCATACTCCCTGGGACAAATTCGTCCAGCGCGACAAGCTATAGGAGCGAGTCTAACCAGTAATTGTGAATACTCTTAAAAGAAAAGACAAGAAAATGCATTCCATTAGTAATTTTTCAGGAGGAAAAATTTCGAGTGATCTGCCTATATTTCTATCTTCACGAGGCTTCCTATAATATATTTTCTAAGAGCGACAAGCCAAAGGAGCGCGTCTAATCAGTAATAGTGAATGCCCTTAAGGAAAGAAAAATAATTATAAATGAATGTTTCGAATGAAAGAATCCTTATAAGTGCGCATATTGAGGAAAATATGAATTATTTCTCGATAATAAAATAGCTCGAGAATAATTATATTGCATTTTAAATTATTAAAAATATAAATCACAGATTAACCTAAAATTCTAATTTCATATTAACACTAAATGGCATAAGTATTATTTTACGATGAAAAATACGATTCATATTACTCAATTCAATGTATTTTCTTATATTTTGGATTGTTGTTTTTCAAATTAAAAAAATTTATTCAGGTTGAATTAAATTTCTTTTTCGAGATTTTTAGAAGGTTTTTTTTTGGTAAATATTTTATTAAAATTAAAAATTAAAATTAAATTAAAATTATATTTTATAATTATAAAATATATTATATTACATTATATTATTATATTATATTAAATATTATATTTTATAATTATAATTATAAAATATAATATTTTTTTATAAAGCTATAAAATTCTTATGAAATTACATTTTCTTTTTATTTTTCTCAATGATTTTCAACGATTGTCATAGACTATGGCAAAGATCTCTGGTAAATTCCCAGCATCACCTGGTGTCCCATTTCTCACCATTAATAATAGGTTTATCCTCAGCATATGAAAGCATATGATTTAGTCGAAATAGTATATTACCATCATTGTTTTTATAATCGTTCATCAACTGATCACTATAAGTTTAAATGATAATTAACGCGCTTAAAATAGGAAAAGTACAGTCCAAATACTCATTGAGTACCACTGCTATAAGTAAAATAGAAAATAGAAAATCTTGAGCATATCAAAAAAATGACTATGAATGACTATGAATGGGAGTATTTTTTAGAATTTTGTTTTTATTCGAATATTTTAAAAATTATTTTCTTTTCTAAAATATATTTTAGGTGACGAGGACTGCATAATATCATATCCAAATCTGCTTTTATCATGCGCAACTGCTTTTGAACAACGAACTACGATAACAGAGAATGAATGCCACGAATTATGCCTTTTGTATCGACCTCGAAGCAAATCATGCCAGTATGACAGCTATATGTTTGTTTTATTTCATCATTGTTTCTGCGCCCTATAAAAGAAAATGATAAGGCTTATAATGATAATGATAAGTTTTTGCGCTAATGCGTTGATAGTAGATTTTTTTTTAGAAAGTTGAAATATAGAATTGAATAAGTAATTATCTGATTATTGGTTACAATATAAAATTACTAAATTCTCCAGTAGCTGCCTGCAATTCGCTTGGCTTGGCTTTAAATATGGATTTTCAGGTCGCAGTGCGATCTTTATGAAATTGAATCGCCAATTAAATCTTCTTATCGAATCATCGAGCCAGATGAAGAATTCAGTTCGCCTAGTAGAAATTTAATACTTTCATAAGAACTGATTGATTTTATTTATTGATATTGTTTATTGATAATGATAAGAGACCTGGTTATTTGCTAGTATATTCAGCTTTTTTTCAAGTTTTTCATCTATTTCTCTAATTTGTAGGAAATTTCAAACGAGATATTCAAATAAATGATGTCTTATCGAAAAGGTAAATCCATTTATTTTCTTTCGAATTTTTTTACAGAGAAACAGCGAGTTTTTTTCCTATTTAAATAAGCCAAAAGGCCAATTCTAAATGAAATTTATCGATGAATTCAGAGATTTGAGAGAAATTTGAAGCAATAATATACAAAAAGATTTTTTACAGAAGAGAGAAATTAGTGAATTGCCAACCTTCGATTTCACCTTCCATTGGCTTTACATTTTTGGTGCCCATTAATGATTGTGCATTTTCCAAAGAAATTGTAAATGGTAAGACCATTCATTTTGGAGAAAATGGCCAAATGAATTCCGATTCCCTCCATGATAAACACGATTCCATGTTAAATGAATATATGGCAATAGAAAATTTGGAATCGATCAAAGATAATCCACCATTTTATTCTTCGCAAACTGGTTTCCATCATGGATTCAAAGCTATTGAAATATTTCCCGTATTACAAGGTGAATATTTCAAAATATATTAGTATTAGTGATAAAGTTGTAGCGATAAAATATATTTGTATTAGTGATATTAAATTGTAGTAAAGTTCATCAATTTGTAAAAAAGGATTTTTTAGGGATTTACTATAAAAACTATCGCTTTAGCAAGTAATTTCCCATATGAATGAAAGCTTCCACATGCATAGAACCATTATCAAGAAGTATGAGAGTTGTGCCTAGGCTGTCATATATTTTAACTTAACTTAATTGGCAAAAAAGAAACTTCGAGAAATGCGTTAATTCCTGTGGTGGATGACGGATAACAAGCCCTAAAAAACGAAGGCGATACTCTGTGATAACTCGGTGATAATACCAATAGATATCCAATTTATTATCTTTTTTTTTTTTAAGACTGTCCAGCAAATTATGCCATCGTTTTGGAAATGATCGATGGCATTGAGATTCGAGGCAAAATTTTAGCTCAACAATCCGAATCAACATTTGAATCCTGCATATTATCGTGTAGCAATAATAAAGTATAATTATTAATTAATTAATATTTTTATAAAAAGAAAAGAAAATTTACTTTGATAAATTCACCTAAGGAACCAATAGTTTGATTAAAATATTATAGCAGAAAAAAAAAGCTATACAAAAGCAAAATTATTATTTTAAATTAATAATTACTTAATAACATCGATTTTGTAAAGTAAACCATAAATTTTTGCAAAAGAATTCATCCAGTTAATCGGTGGAAATCGTTTAAAAAAATCGTGTCAATCGGCGCAATATGAAAAACTGAAAAAACGATGTACGCTCTTCGATGAAACAATTAGTCCAACTGGTAAAGCCCAATACAAACCAAATCTCAATGTTGCTTACGTGCAAAAAATTTGCTTGAGAAGTAAGTAAAATAATAAGCAAACAATATTTTCAGGGTATTTTCAGGATAACGCTGTTTTGCTCAATCATAAATATGCGTTTTGTCCAGTTTATCATTTTAATAGCCTTTCTTCTTGCCATTTCAAGTCTGACTGATTATCAGTTCCTTATCATCAATTACTAATGAACATTAGAACAAAATTCAAAAAAATTATGTTGCTCATCTATTAGCTACTAATGCAGTTTTTTAACAGTTTTTTATACTTAAATCTATTCAGAATCATTAGCTGATCAGTGTAGTGGTTCTTTACGCCGAGTACCACAATATATACTTGTTGGTTTAGCAACTTCAATTATTGATGTTACTAAATATGAACTTTGCCTCGAGAAATGTTTACAATCATTGGTTAATTATTTATTTATTTAATTATTTATTATTATTAATTATTTTATTTATTTAATTATTTTACTTCAGTATTTATTTAATAATGTTAATTATTCCTTTCTTATCGAAATATTTAAAAAATTTTGTAAATTCAGTAAAAGTTTTGTTTTTCTTGAAACGTTTTATTTTATTGCAATTTGCATGAAAAATAAATACGTTTATTCCAATTTTTTTTTATTTAAAAATTTACTCCGATAAGCAAAATTTGATAAATTATAACAATTTTATTCGAATATCAACGATATTATTCATTCGTAAATCACCGTCATTGATCTACTAAATCGCATGATTTTTGATTAACGAAATCTTTAAGAATTTAAATAACCGCTATTTTATTCATTTCAACTTCTTTCTGCTAATTTACCATTCTTTGTAGGAATTATTCGGCTTTGAATGTCGATCTGTGATTTATTTTCACGAATATTTAACAGCGAATTGTATCCTCAATACGCATTCAGCAATTACTAAACCATCTCATTTTACCGCTGAATTTGAGCTGAAAGTTGATTATATTGAAATGAAAAATTGTAGTAGTGAGCTAATCTATAATTTTTATTTTAATATTTTATATATTTTATTTTATTTAAAATATGAAATAATGGATAAATCCAGGATAAAATTAAGTTTCATTGTACATTCTTCGGACTTCGACGAAATATTTGCTGTAATCGGTTAGCGCTAACTATTTCGTTGTGCTCCGACTTAGTGCGATTAAAGATTTTTGTGATAGAATTAAATTACTGAACTCTCACTTATCAACAATGATTTGATAATGGATAAAGCGTTGTTCACTCGGTTGCTTAAATTCTTAGCTTTTAAATAATTATTTAATGTGGATTAAAAGAGCAAGATTTTAATGATGCTGATAACTCTATTAATTTTTACTGCAACGATCAAATGGAGACAGAAAAGCTCAGCGTGCTATTGCTCAATTAGTGAAGCCAATACTGAAGTTGCAATCCCCACAAGAGTAAAAAACCAGGTGATACTGGTGACTCACCTGTATTTCTATCGCCCTTGTCTCCTTTGGATTCTCTTGTTTTATGCGACAGACCAGCTGAGCGAGTTTAACTAATAGTGGTGAGGACGGTAAAATGATGAAATACATCAATGAACCTTATTTCATGCAAAAAAATAAAATATTGATAATATTGATATGGGACATAAGTTATCTGCAATGATCAATTTGAAAAAAGCTGAGAAATTTTTATTATCATTATTATTATATTATTATTATCATCATTATTATTATTAAAATTTAGATTCTGAACAACGATCCGCTTCTATCACCGATGTTACCTTGAAAAAACCAGTGAAAATTTTGGAAACAGATGAAGATTTACTTCGTAAGATTATTAATTGAAAATTTAAAATTATTATAATCGAAAAATTTTGGCAATTATATGCGATCAGTTTTCTTCATTATATTTTATATTCTGTAATAGCGTATTGAAATCGGTGATCCATTTAAATTTCCTTAAGTTTCTGTAATGGCATCGGCCTGAATAATGAATAAGTGTAACGACCAATACATTATAAATTAGAAAATATGGCAAATAATAAATGAAATTATTTTTATAGGCAACAATAAATAATAAATAATATTTTATTTTATTTTACGAATAATATTTTTAATCATTCATCGTTTATAATATAATATTTCTAGCAGTTCGACGGAGGATTTTCAAATCGTTCGAAGAGATCGAACATGAAGAACCTGGTTTAGTAATGAATCACAATAATGTCGCTTTTTTTGGGCCACCTTTTCCTCCTCAATAATCTTGTTTGGAAATTAGACTAAATGTATTACGAGGGAGATTTTACTCCTCGAAAATGAGACCGATTCGCTCCAACTTGATTTTGAGCGCTATAATTTGAATATTAAATCTCAGTGAATACATTAAATAAATGATGTTAAAAATTGTGTTTGCAATATTTTTGTAATTTGTAAATTAAAATGTAATTCTAATTTTAATTTTTTTAATTTTATTTAAATGAATAAAATTATGTCATTTCAACTTTTTTTTTTCATCGAATATAATATGGAAAAAATTTTGTTAATAATTAACGAAAAATCGCTTAATTGCAAATTTTTTTGCAATTTTCAGGATTTCTTACAAATTTTTCGATTAAAAAAAGCTGCGGAAACGGAAGAAACCTTTTAGTTAAAAATTCGATTTATCCATATCAAACTATTTTAACGTAATCAAATAAAATTTCCTATTTCTAGTCGTATAAAATTACTGAATTTGCTTGATTTACATGATTTCTCATGTTTGCTATCTTCCAAAAAAAAAATTCACATATCCACAATCGTTCAGTAGTAGTTAAGGATATTTAATCCAATTTTTTAAATCGCTATTTTATGGATGATCGCTATTCATTCAATTTTTTCAATGATTTTTAAAAAATATTATTATCACGAATGGAATGAAATAAATGAAATTCATAAAAAGAGATGATGCGAAAGTAATTGAATGGGTATAAATGCGTCTTTAATAGTAACGATGACCTGAATGTTTAATAATTTACCCGTAAATGAAACGATAAAAAAGAGTAACACAATTAAATATCGCTTATACAAATATAATTACTACATTGCACAGATATGAAACGATAATTAAAATAACAAAAATATAAAGAAAGAACAAAAATTATGAGGTCGAATTTAGTTGAAATATCAAAAGTGTTTCAATTTTCTTTTATTGGCCGATAAAAATCTAGAAAATTCAAATTTATTTCACAGTTTATAATTGATTGAAATAACGTCTGAAATTATTATTTCTAAATGAGACTGATAAGATGATAAAATTTTGAAAAGAACAAAAATACTGGAAAAAATTGCTAATATCAATAGCGATATTAATCTCATTATTAAACTTTATTCTAAAATTGGTTTTTTCCTAAAATTATGGGATAATAATAATTATTATTATAAGGCCATAATTTATAATAAAATATGATTAAATATGACTCTTTTAATTCCATTAGAGTGTAATCAATAATAATAAAATTATTTAAAATTATTATGTAGAAAACTCTATTACCAATAATTTTAAAGGCTTTTTTAGATCAAATCTGCCATAAAATAGAATTATTTAGATGCTAATTCACAAAAAAACCGCAAAAAATCTTAAACATTTTATCAATTTATAAATGAATTTAAAATGGAGAATAAGAAAAAATTGGGCTAATCGGTAATATCATTAGAACGTTATAATAACAAAAGAACTAATAACTGAATTACTGAATAAGAAAAATTCCTGAATAGTTTTGCAAATTATTTCAAATATGATAATTGATAAATGATAATTAGGAATTATTTTTTAAACGGAATTATTTTTTTATTTTTATCTTTTAAACGTTAGAAATTATCTTCTTTGAAATCTGATAATGTTTTCCTTCTTTCGTTTGTTTGATTTTCATCATTAGGGAATTCATCTGTAAATTGTTTATTCGATAACTTTCACCATTTACATTTATATTTTATAAGTGTATGTTTTAGGATGGTGTGGCTCAATGGATTTTTGCTCTTATTTCGAAGCGCTAACACTGTGATACATTTTGTGAAGACAGCAAACATTATTAAAAAATTTAGCTAATAATAGTGCTGATAAGCCACTTATATCTCTATCACCAAGTGGTTCCCTGGCAAAACTAATTATCTTACAAACTCAGCCACAAATGGTGAGTGTTCTCTAAGAAAAAATTATAAAGAATTAAATTTAAATTACGTAACATCGGTCATAATATTGTACGTTAAAAAATTGAAATATAAGAAAAAACCTGTTTGATTAAATGTCGATGGAATGATAGCGTTACGACGTTGTATACTGGCGATTTCCATGACAGCAGCATGCCGTCGAACCTGCATTTTCACCTATAAAATGCAAATAAGTCCCTAAGTTATCCTCAAATTTTCAAAAAAAAAAAAATTTCGTTAATTTATTAATATTTATTAATTAATCTAATAAATATTAATAATTAATAAATATTATAAATATTTCAATAATATTAATTATTCGATTTATTTATTTATTGTCCGAGTGCATATCTGATAAATTATTTAAAATGGATTAAGAAAATTAAGAATTTTTTTTTTTTGCGAATTAAGAATTGTATGGATTTTGCATATGAAGCCAATGAATTTATGAAAACATTTTTTTTAAAATTTTTTTAACAATTTTTGCAATAATTTTTCTGGTTAATATTGCAATCAATTATTCAAATGAACAACTGATATGTTAAAACAATAATAATTAATGACGTATTAATTGTAGTAATAAAATTTTAAATCCTAATAAATAATCCTATCAATCAAATCAATGAAATGAACGAGTATAATAAAATTTGATAAGACTTGATAAGCAAGATAAGATTTTATAAAAATAAAACCAAACAACCTGTTCAACGGGTAAAACTCGTCGTCGTTTACGAGGTAATTTCTCTCTCGCTTGTGTATGCGAATAGAACATAGCAAAATTGCTAACAATAACTGGCACGGGTAATGCAATAGTAAGTACGCCCATTACTGCGCATAAACTTCCAACTAAACGACCAAGTGCTGTATGTGGAGTCATATCACCATAACCAACCTATCAATAAATATTTTATTTGTAAATATTGCGAGAAAAATTTTATTTTGTGCACACTTTAAGAATAATGAAGATAAAATATAATAGATTTTTAAAATTGTTCGATATTCTAAATTAGATAGAAAATATTACCGTAGTCATAGTGCATATTGCCCACCAAAGGCCTAATGGTATGCTGATAAATTGATTATCTGGATTAACTTCCATTTTTTCTGCATAATAAACTAAAGCGGCAAAAATCACAATACCAAGAATTAGAAAAAATACCTGGAAAAATTTTATAAAAATCTAAGGAAAAAAAAGCAATTCGAAGAAATCAAATATATTAAATCATATTTAAATATATTATATAAATATATTATATATACATATATCATTATTATTATTATAATTTTTAATTACAAATTAAAAATAAATAAAAAAAAATATTATTATATATATTTTTAAAAATATTATATATTAATATATTCAATCATATTTATCATATCATATTCATATTTATCAAGTTTACTTTCATCATAATTTTTGTTATTTAATAATAATAATGATAACAATAATTTATTTATTTAGTGACCAATAACTTAATCTCACTACACTGACTATTGGTTTGAAATATTTCGCCATTGAGTCACTTCTGGAGATGGTGGATTCCGATATTTCTAGCATTTTTTAATGATAATTTTGACAATGATAACTGATAATCTGTGATAAGCAAAGGATGAACCATGATTCTAATTTCCGGTGGCGAGATTATATTTTTATATAAGCTTTTTTTTTTATCGAACATTTGTCGTTTTATATGCGTCATATAGCTGGTTTAATTTTAGTTTGTCGATGATTTATAAACAAAATAAAAATAAATAGGAAAATAAAAATAAATGAATGATTTGCATAAATACTAACTAATAAAATAAGTTCTTTGGCAGAAGCACGGAATGTATGAATTAATATTTGGAGGCCACGATGATGTTGCGTTAATTTAAAAAGTCTTAAAATTCGAATCATTGATAAGAATTCGACGACATCTTTTGGTGCATCTTCATCAAGAAGTCGAACAAGTATCGCATCAATGTAAAAACTTAACGTTGCTATCTGAAATTGCTTGGAAATCTTTTAATATTTGAATTAAATGGTACTTACTCAAGAAGTTTGAACAAGTTATCGAGTTTTTTTTCTAGAAATTGAGCTAATAGATGAATCGATCCTTAGCATATTCGATCCTATTCAGTTTCTAATAGACAAATTTAGAATTATAAAATTTATAATATATAAAAAATGAAAGCTAAAATATTTAATGATAATAAAAAATACAGAAAAAACATTTGGTTAATGCCAATTAAAGATTTTATATGTTATATATTTAATTATAAATATAGATTTGTACCAAATCAATATTATTAATAGGCGATTTGAAAAATCGAAATTTGCTAGGGCAAAATACGAATCGAACTATTATTTCAAATGTGAACCATATGTTGCATACAAATTCGATCTAAAAAAAATTCCATTTTATAAGTGGAATTTTGAAATTTGATAAATATTTTTATGATGATCAAAATTTGAAAATATTTAAAAATTTTATCACAAAATCACCAATTTTTTTTATCAATGAGATATTTTCTTTATCATCAAATAGAAATCACCATTTTTGGCTGATTCAGTTAGAAAGAATAATAACTCTTCATCATATGGAAGCAAAAGGTGTATATTTTCGAGCACAACCTGTATTTCTCTTTAAACGATCAGATTACTTGTACCAAGATATAGATATAGAACAGGAAAAGTTAAAGGAATATGAAAAGCATATTCCAAGCAATTACACAAATCGACTATCTTGTTTCTTTATTATTTATCATTGTCATTAGAATTAAAGGCTTTGAAATGAATGAGATTAATTATTTTAGTTAATTTAAAAAATTCCGAAAAGTGAAGTGATTATATATCAAATTATATCAAAGCTTATTTATTATTCACTTAGCCATTAATAGGTTTTTCTTCATATTATCATTTGCTCCTTTGATAATATTGATAAAACTTATCACTGATATGTTTTATAAAATTGTCTTGTAAAAATTACAAGGTATCTCTATCTTTACTTTGTCATATTTCTCTATAGAGAAATGATAATTAACGAATGGCCTAATAAATTTGGTGGCAAAATCGATATTTGATATTTTCATATCCTACAAGGTTTCCGAATTTTTTTTTAAAAATTTTTGTTGAGCGGTCGTTTTAAAAAATACGCTCGATTTATTTTTGTAAATTTATTTTTCATTTCTGATCACAATTCAGCTAAAGTCCTCTTAAACTTTAATTTTTTTTTTGCCAAACAACACTTAAAATTAAAATAAAATAAATCAAAATTAAAGCGATTAAATTTAATCAAATCAATTAAATTGTATAAATAATATATATATATTTCATATACATACATATAGTCATATATATATATATTTTTTAAATTTCATTGTCTATTTTATTATTTTCTTCAAATTTAATTTTTTTTTTGTCTTTGGCAGGAGTAAACCTGTTATTATGTCAAGAATCCGGGTGGCTGCTGAGAACCCACCTGTAACTCTATCTCCAAATGACTCTATGGTGATAGGGCTAGATACACAAGATTTCCTTTACCACTTTTTTTGCTATTAATATATATTTAAACATTCTTATAAATTTTCCCTATTTTCAAATTATGTTTCAGCAAAAATAAATGATTTTTAACGTATTTAACAAAATTAATTAAAATATTTTAAATTTCTATCGCATGATTTTCCTAATTTCATGATCGCAAAAGAATATTTATTATATTTTATTGGTTCTTTTTTTTATAAATATTTGAATTTCAATTAATAAAAACTTCATTTACGTAAGATTTATTTGAGTGCAAGAAAAATATAATTAATTTAGGATAATAAGTAATAAATTTTGTACATACATGTAATGAGATAGTAAGTAATTCATATATTTGAATAATTGAATAATTTTTTCCTGTTATCAATTCGGTTAAAGCGAAGTTATAGAATTTATAAGAAATGATTAAAATTATAGATTAAAATTAATAATAAAAAAAAGTTTCAAATAAAAAGTTTCAGATAAAAAAAAAACGAAGAAATGATATATACTTGACTGAATGATTTATGAGGTTCAGTGGCTGTCCTTTGTATTCCTATATGATTCGATGTTATATTTCTCGTTGATATAACTGCTATTCGAAAGTTTGGATGAGTCTTCAAACAAAACGAAACGATACTGATAACAATAAAACAAACTGATATAGCAGCTATAATCTGAAATTTTTCGAAAAACTGTTGAATGGTGTTGAAAATTATAATCTAATGGAAAATGCAAGAAATCTAGGCTGGGAATCCAGAAAGATCTTTCTTTTTATCAATTAAACCTTTCTAAATAATCCTCTTCCGAGACATTCTCGATCTTTTTGCTTGCCTACATGAATCTTGTATATTTCATTCAAGTTCAAACATTTTTTAAGCGCGTTACTTAGGATTTCTACTCTACATTAAAATTTGTTCAATCCTGCTTTAATTAGATAATTACCATTTAGGGCTTTTTTTGCTTACCATTTTTTTCTAAAGTTATTTTTATTACTGGTCGTCGCAAAATTATAGAACCATTAAATTGGAAAAGCCATAATTAATGTTTTTTTTTTCGTCTTCGGAATATGGAATCCCATCTCTTATTTAGCAAATCCACAAAATTATTGCTATTTCTTACTTTAGCTGTTTGTGAAGAATATGGTTCATCAAAGAGCGCCCAAATCTTTGGTTTGTATTTCATCCAGAATGTTATTCTCCCTTGGTAATATTCCTCTTCCCAACCGAATTTTTTCATAATTTCTTTTTCTCTTGAATCTGGATCATCCTCACGATTATCCATATCTAATTTATCCAAAACTGCTAATGTTTCTTGAGTATCTCTAAAAACTCATATTAGAAAAATTTAAACTTCGACGAATTCATTGTATTCATCCACGATTGATATTTCAATAAAGCGCATTTTGTCTCGATGAAAACGAACCTGTGTTGAGTGTAAGTCATCCAACAACAAGGCTCAACCTGATTTGCGTCCAAACCCCAGTACTCTAGTTCCTCCTCAAACAAAGGTCCACATACGTCTATTGGATAATGAAGTTTACCGGTTCGATAATAATTCAAGATCTATAATTATGAATGTTTTATATTTAGAATTTCCATAATTATTGAAAATTTTTTTTCTTAGTATGGTTCCAGATAACCACTATTGTTTTTTATTTTTTTAAGAGTCCTCACCATTACTGGTTAAACTCGCTCCACTGGCTTGTCGCATTGGACAATATGCCAGGGAGTCCTTTGGCGATAAAAACACAAGTAAGTCGACAGCATTTTGGCACAAGTTTACTCCAGCGGGAATACGAACCCTCACCATCGGTGCTCCAAACTGAGCAATTCTATCCCCACTTCTATTGTTAATTTTTAGTTAATTTCGTTTTCTGAATTTTTTTTCCTATGAAAGAAAATTTGAAGAAAATTTTTTCCAAAAGAGATTGAATTAATAAAGTTGAAAGTTGAATTAAAAACAAAAAATTGATAATATTTTAAAGTTTAAAAAATATGAAGCGGAAAAATAGTTTTTAAAAACCTTAAACCCTAAAACAGCCAAATTTATTTTTAATTTTTCAATAAATCAACTGGTCATAATCCACAGCTTAAAAAAGAATAGAAAATCCTAATAAAGTTAATTTCCTTTGCAATTCCTGCAAATAAATTCAAAATTCATAAAATCCTCATTTCTCTTTTTTATAATCCTCGATATTTGCTAAGATAAAGAAAATATGCTATTTTTAATTGGCTAATGAAAAAACGCAAGAAAATTACGATAGCTATCCTTTTAAGATTTCAAGATTTTATGTGTACACGTACTTGAGCAAACACACCGGGATGTCGATCAAAGAAATATTCGTTGAGAAGCGGATCAAAATTAGCAAGTGCTGGGGTTAGACGAGATAATCGCGTAGCAGGAATCTTCTTGAGAGTCGCCTGATAAGTTTCATGCCGAATACCTCCAACATTAAGCACAATCCGATCGTCCATTGTAATAGCTCCTTGAAAATTATAATTTTATGTTTATATAAGGCCTGAACCATACTATCCATATTCAAAATTTTGGAAATCATTTTATAAAAATTTTTAATTAGCAAATCGTATCGTCTGATCATAAAATTTGGCTTCAGTTTGGCTTAGATATGGTTTTCATTGTGAAAACAAATTTTGTAAATATTTTTTATTTTAATATTTTTTAAATAAATATTTTTAATATTCATAGATATAAATATAATAGACATTTTTTAATTGATTTAACCATTGTTTAATCTAAATTTAATCTAAATTCTAAAATCTAAATTTTGAAAATAAAATTATTAAAATTTATAAATTCTTTTTATACTATTTTTATAAATATTTTCACAAATATTTATTGCGGGTACCAATTAATTTTTCTTAGATAAAAATCTTTTCCGTATACAATTGATGAAATTTTTTTTTCGTCAAACTTATTTTTCTCTAATGAAAAAAATGAAGTATTTATTAATTTAAGATATTCGAAAAAAGATTAATAATGGTGCCTTAAGGGAAAATCGACATATAAAATTCTTTGCACCATAGTCTTTAGCTGTAGTAATAATAACATTTATGATTCTATTAATAAATTCCGCATTTTTATGGATTACAAAATTTATAATAAAATATTTATAAAAATATAATAATATAATATATAATAATATATGTTGGAGAAATTTAATTAATATGATAGGAAATATGAAGCCACCATGTTTGAATATTAGTAATTATTTGAAAAAAATTACTTTTCCTTTTTTTTTAGAAGTTCGATGATTTTTTAAGCACGATGAGGTGTACTTCATTAAATTATATTAATATAATATTACATATATGTATATATATATAATTTAGTTTTATTTATTATATATAAATAAATATAATTCAGGCGAAATCCTCGTTTATTTTGAGGATAATCAAGAAGTTAATCCTATCAACTATTATACAATATTTTCAAGCTATTTTTCAAACTAACACAATTTTTAATCGCTTTTATCCCTTCATTATTCTCCAATATTTCAATATTTTTCTATATTGTTTATTTTAGTTATAATTTTTAATCATTCAATTTAATAATTGCCAATGGATAATAGAATGGTTCAATGCTTTGTTGGTCAGTTCGGAGCACTAATGCTGAGGTTTTACTCCTCGAGGTAATAAATAATAAATTTGTCGAAAAATCCGAGTGGTGCTGGCGATTCACCTGCACTTCTATTGTCAAGGGACTCTCTTGGACTCTTCTGCGAAAAGCCAGTGATGCGAGTCAAACAAGTGAGAATAAGGGGTCTTAAAAAAAATGATTCAGTATATTTAAATGTTAAATGTTTATGTTGTTTAAATCATCAAATCTGTTTTACTAGTCTTATCATTCAATCTTATTAATAAATCATCGTTAATTAAGCGATAAATCATTTTGTTCCAAACAGAACGAAAATTTAAATTGCAACAATTGCAGAAAGTCATAAAATTTGGCTAATATGAGATATGATCGTCAGAGCCAACGTTTTATTTGGTCTCCGTTTAATATTTGCAATTCCTTATCGTTAGTATGGGGATTTGCCCTGTCTGGTACTTTTACTTTTAAATCTTTTTTATTTATCAACCCCTTATTTCAAATATTTTCTATCGACTTGTTTTGTTTATTATTATTATTATTGCAATGATTTTTCGTTAAATAAATGAATAATTGTTCAAAAGAATTATCTATATTAATGATAACAATAGCTGATAAAATAAAAAAAAGTTTTATGATAAAAAATAATCAAATATTGTTGAATTGTTGCTAAAAATTAAATAATATTTGGCAAATTATTGATGAAATTTATCAAATTTGAAGTAATTTTAAACCGAAAAGTTATATTGCTCTTTCGTTAAATCTTTAGAATGATTTATTTCGTTGATTTAAAAGAAAATATTTTATTTAAAATATTGTTGAATATAAAGAAAATATTATTTAAAAATAAAATTAATTTTCTAATTTTACTCAAAGATAATAAATTAAATGGATTAAAGTTTCGAAAATATTGAAAAATTTTGAAATTCATTATAAATAAAATACAGTAAAATCATTAATATAGGTGAAATATTTCGCATTAATAAATTAATCGACTAATTTTTATAAAAATCAATTTAAATGGTCAATTAGAGATTATTTGAGATTTTTTTAAATATTCGATATTGTTTATTTTCACTTATTTTTATACGAATTTTGAATAAATTTGATAAAAAAAACAATGTGATTTTATTCTTTTCTATTGAAAAATTCAGCACTTTTAATTATAGTTTTACTCTCATCAAGAAACAAGAAACGGATTATAATGGCTTAACTAAGCTTAAGCAATATGTCATCTGAAATAACTGAGATCAGCAGAGTGCGCGAAACCATCCATTTTGCTTTTCGTTTTTATTATTATAAGTCTAAGAAAAATTTGATTTACAAATTCCCATACGTAAGATTAAAATTTATTTTAAAAAAATGTGAGAAAAGCAGAAAAAGTTTTTTAGATAAAACATCACTATGAGATAAATATAGTTGCGCAAGGAAAGTGATTTTAATCCCGAGAATTTTCAAGCATATCTCGGTGCATCCATGTCAGAACTTTCACTTAGAACCATGGACATATGGAAAGTCTTAATTTTATGACCTGTCATACACTAAAAAATCTAGCATTGTAAGTTTAAATAGGGTTTTTAATAAAAAGATTGGAGGACTTCATTTAAGAATGATAGTAATAAAATTAATCATAAGGCTAAAATTAGATTTTAGATTCAATATTCTAATTTTTTAAGACATTTTTTTCATAAATTAATTAATAAATATAGTGAGAATATCTGCCTTACATGATTATGATAATTAAAATCAATTGAGCCATGCTTAATTTGAAGAATTTATAAGGTAAAATATACAAATAGTTAAAGTGAGTGGTTTAGGCATTTTCACGGTCACATGGTGATTAGCATGGCTAGAAATTTTTGTCTAAAAATCAACTGGCAATAGTCGCGAACATCAAGATCTTTTAATGACAAATTTACTCTGGTTTAGGATAGCAATTGACTCTATATACGGCAACTTGAGCTGACCACTGCTAACCACTCGGCCATCATGCCATCCAAAAATATAAACAGGTATTTAAAACAGGTATTTAAACTAAAAAAAATTATTGCAACTATTAAAGAATTTTTGTGTGTGAAAAAGTTAGTTGATCGGGACGGTTATGGTGCAGTAAAAAAAATTATGCAATAGGAATCGTTAGTTGATTTTATGAAACACATGGATGTCATAAATTTCAACATCAAAATCGAACGACGAACAATTCTTTCGTAATGTTAATTTAATGGTAATTTTTAATAAAATTAAATTGCTTATAATTTAAAATCAAATTTTTTAACTTCTTAAAATTATAGTTAAAAATTTTTCCCCTCAAATACATAGGCTAAAATTTTTACGCTAAATTATATTTTTTAAATTTTTTAAAATCTTTTTAATTTTTATATTAACGTCAGCATTGTCACCTGGAATACTAATGGTACCAAAATCTCGCTGTATTTTTTTGCTTATTATTTCTAAAGTATATATGCTTTTTGCTTTCTCTACTTGGTTATTTATAAATGAAATTTAGCCACAGTGAAAGAATTCTCAAATCATTTTTATTTCCCTATACTGGTTTGGTTTGGTTTACGATAGCCAAAAATAAAAAAGATTTATAAAATCTGCTCGATTTTTAATATTTATAAGATGATTGGATATTATAAAATTTAGAGATTTTAAATTAAATATAAAATATAACCATCATTGTAAGTTGATCGGCGACGTAGCATTGAATATCTTTCTAATATTTTCTACAAATGCGACACCTAAAAAATTATTTTTTAGGGATTTTTTTGTTATACAATAATTATTATTATTTTATTCGGTTGTATTTGATTAAAAAATTTTTAAAAAACGTATAATTCTACAATGATTGCTTTATCTAATTAGAATTAGAATATGTCCGAATAACCTACCTAATAGCCAATCTGTCAATAGTGAAGCATCCAATAAAATTATAAATTATTGTCGATAAAATAAATTTTGTCCAAAAGAAGAGCTTTGTGATTAGAATCAATATCTATTTATAAATATTTATAAATGGACTAGAAATGAACTTTAGAAAACCACCTAGAATGGATTACACCTTTTGCCCCAAGTTAACAACAAATTTCACCAATAACGCTATTTATCTATTTTATTCAATTTATCGCATTTAGTTTCTCGTCAGTGAAGATAGTCCATGTTGCTCTGATAAATGTTAAACTACCATAGGTTCCATCCACATTCCTCGACAATAATAAATCTATCATAAAGCAAAATCCAAATAGTGCAATGGATTTGCTTGTATTTCTATAATTGAAACTAATCTCATCCTAATTAATAGTGAATGATTACCACTGATTTAATAGTGAATGACTACCAGTGGTGACAAAGAAAGAAGACTGAAGCGTAAGTAACAAATCTAATGATACCTATCGAAGATAGCAAAAGCGGCGAAATCTTTTGCCAAACTGAAGTTTAGATATTTCATTCATCCAATAAGCGGTTTATTATTACAAAATATAACTATTGGGCAGCTAGATAAACCACAATAAAGAAGGCAATCATTTTATATTGCTTAGAATTATTAGCTTTTTTTTTTTTTTAAAGAAATATTAAATCCATAAAGAAAAAATCGGAAACATCATTATTGAATATATTTTTGCCTCCATTTTTCTACACTAAAACTATAGTTATGGCAATGAATCGAGCGACTCGAAAAAGCAAATTTTAGCTAATAAAGCAAACCGAACCAATAATGATTAGAAGAATGCACTAAAACTGTGAGAAAAAAAATAAAAAAAACTTTATAAAATTAATGAAAAACTTTATAAAATTTATTTAAAAAAATACTAAAATTACAGGCAAAAATACGTGGACAATAAGTATGAATGGATTCGATTAACAA